TTTTTGAGTGCCAGCGAACCCGTGGGAAAAGGCTAGCTGATGTGACCCGATAAGATAGAAATTAATGCCAGGATTCAGAAAAAAAATGAGAAAATTAAGCTTTTATAAGAAATTGCAATTGAACAACTCACGTGTGAGTATTTCATCTTCCTGGTTATGTCACCAAAAGTACGTTCTTCTCGGTTGTTTTCCTCATCGTCGGAGACTGGGACACTATGGTGGACAATATTTCCTATTTGTATCAAGTTGAAATGGCGTTCCTCCTCCAGTTTCTCCATCGAAGTCTACAAAGTTGGAAAAAAGATCTAACAATGGCAAAAATCAATTCTTCCAATAATCTCACCTTTGTCTCAGCCATTTTCTCATCCAGCAAAACTCGCAGCTTCTTTATTTGCATTACTGTTAACCCCTGAAATATTATGATGATTATATGATAATTTCCTTCGCCTTCTCCGACTTACATTGAGATCTTCAATTTTCAAAGAATCCAGCTTTGAAGTGATCGATTCATCAATGCTGTCGTCCGTGCCTTGGGCCTCCTTTTTCTAGAAACAAAAAAAATTACTCCAAGACCAATATGATGCAACCTCGCTCATTTACCTTCATCTTTTCCCCGATTGCTTTGCTTAGCACATTCTTCTGCCGATTAAATACATCAAGCAAAAACCGCGCTAAGAATAGATATCGATATTCTTTGTTTGCACAAAAAGAGGCTTGCAATTACCTTTTCTCCATGCCTGATCCAGCTCAATCACTTTATCAACCAACCCTGGATCTTTGTAACGATTTCTCTGCGATTCGCGAATGATTTCGGGGTTTCCACCTAGGATTTTACCAAACAATCGTGATGTAAAGAAAGCAAAGCGGAATCGTCACTCACCCTTCTCTTCGCGAAACATATCCATATCGAGCACCATTTTTACTCTATGAATTCGCGAAAGCGAATCTTTTATTACCTTAAAAGATTATCTTAGATCTCAAACTCAATAAAAGCCGAAAAAGGAACGCAAAAATGAGAGAAAAGCCTCAAAAG